AAAGACTATTCGCCACTATCTGCCCACGAGCCATTCGAAACGAAAATCCCAAACCCTCGATAGCCGCCCACTTCCTCTTCGATCGTACCCCCCTTGGGGTACATCTTCCTTACCTGCCGCATGTAGTTGGCGCAGTCCCTAAAACAGGTGAAGGAAGTGAGGAAGGACGAGACACGGGGAAGGCTCAGGGAAGCAAGGAAGGCAAGAGACAAGGAGGGAAGGAAGGGAAGAATGATGGAGCACGAGAGAGATTTGCAGGAGGGTCAGGAGCAGCAGTGCAAGCGGCAGAACCAGACGGGCGGGTCGGGCGGGCGGACCGTAACGGGCAGGTCGGGCGGGCGGGCCCAGACGGCCGGGTCGAGCGAGCGGGTCGCTGAAGCGTCAACCCAACATGAGTCGCAGGAAATTTCGAGAGATAGCGCGAGTCCTAAGTAAATCGTCAGGAAACCCTAAGCGAGCGCGTGACTCCTGAGTCTTGGAGGCACGGCGCCGCAATAAAATGTGAGGAAGTACCACGCAAGAACGCGACTCATGCCTAAAGTATGAAGAAGTCCCGCGCGAGAACGATTTCAAACAACACAAAACAAGTGAGGGAGTATCAGTCGGAAGTCGCTGTTGTTGCAAGCCCTGGGCCAACAACCCAGTTTGGTGACCCAAGCCGTGCCCTTGTAAAAAACAAGGTGCGAGCCCCAGGAGGAGCACGCTGATTGAAAAACACAATGATCAAAGGGCAGGGGGGATCAACAATAATTATTCAAACATTAGAATTCAACAACAATAAGCATGGCGAAGAGCCTAAAAATATGCAGGTGAGAATAACGCAATTGTAGTATCGTCGTCGGTGGAGCTCCCTGTCGGGCCACGAAACGTGTGAGCGGTGTGCTAAAATCGGTGCGGCGAGCGCATGCGAACGCAGCCGCTGTTGTCCTCGGTGGAGCTCCACATGGGGCCACGAAACGTGAGTGTCGTGCCGAAATGGGTGCGGCGGACGCATGCGAACGCAGCCACTGCTGCCTTCGGTGGAGCTCCCTATGAGGTCACGAAACGCAGCGTGACGGGCATACGGGCAGAACAACCAAAGCGCCACTCAGCGCCACTCAGCGCCACTCCCCGCCAGTCAGCGCCGCTCAGCACCAGTCAGCGCAACTCAACGCCACCCGGCGCCGCCCGGCGCCACCCGGCGCCACTCAACGCCTCTCAGCCCCGCCCAATGCCACTCAGCGCAACCCAACGCCACTCAGCGCCACCCAACGCAGCTCAACGCCACTGAAATCCTGCAGCGGCTGTAGGAGGAGGTAGAGGATGAGGAGGGATGCGAGAAGGAGGAAGCAAAGGATAAGGAGGGAGAAGGAAGAGAAGGAAGAGGAGGAGGAGGAGGCGGAGGAGGAGGGAGGAGGAGGAGGAGGAGGATCCGGAAGAGAAAGCCTTGGCCGTCCTCCACCGAGAGGGTGGGCCGCGGCCTGGGCCGCCGCTGAGCTGAGCCTCGCCTGCCGCCTTCCCGCCGCTCCTCTTCCCCGTCCTCCCTCCTGGCCCCCTCCTGGCAGCGTTAATAATCAACTCCTTCCCTTCCTCCTTCTTGGCTCCCTCCTGGTCCCCTCCTCCTCCCCATCCCTCCTGGCCCCCGTCCTCACCCCCACTCCTCATTCCGCTCCTCCTTCCATTCATCCTTCCCGGTCTCCTTCCTGGCCCCATCCTGGCAGCGTTAATCAACTAACTCCTTCTCCTGCGGCCTCCCCCATCAGACACAGCCGCGGGCGACATTGCGAAAAAGGAAGGCGGCACGACGCGAAAACCAGAAATGCTGAAGAATTCCCCTGGCGACATACCCAACCCCTTCGCAATGTGGGGCGCGAGTAGCCTGGGACACGTTATACCGAGGTGATGGCGTGACATGGACGCATATGATTGTGCGAGCGGTACTCGAGAGGCTCGCAGCCCCCCAGGGATGGCGAGGTCCCGCTCAGATATGCGTGGTGCCTCACTCCGCTGGCCCCGCCAGCAACATCCGAACGTGGCGACACTTCCACAGATCGCTGTCCCCCAGGGACGGCGAGGTCCCGCTCAGATCTGCACTGTGCCTCACTCCGCTGGACCCACCAGCAGCCCGCGAAAAGGGCGACAATTTCCCAGATCACAGCCCCACCAAGGACAGCGAGGTCTCGCTCAGATCCTCGCGGTGCCTCACTCCGCTGGGCCCACCAGCAGCCCTCGAAAGTGGCGACAGGGACGGCGAGGTCTCGCTCAGATCCGCGCGGTGACTCACTCCACTGGAAACACCAGCAGCCCTCGAAAGTGGCGACAGTTTCGCAGAATGCAGCCCCCCAGGGACAGCGAGGTCTCGCTCAGATCTGCGCGGTGCCTCACTCCACTGGACCCACTCGCAGCCCTCGGAAGTGGCGACAATTTTGTAGATCGCAGCCCCCTACAGGGACGGCGAGGTATCGCTCAGATCTGCGCGGTGCCTCACTCAGCTGGACCCACCAGCAGCCCTCGGAAGTGGCGGCAAGTTTCGCAGATCGCAGCCCCCCCAGGGACGGCGAGGTCTCGCTCAGATCTGCGCGGTGCCTCACCCCGCTGGACCCACCAGCAGCCCTCGAAGTGGCGACAGTTTCGCAGATCGCAGCCCCCCCCCAGGGATGGCGAGGTCTCGCTCAGATCTGCGCGGTGCCTCGCAGCGCTGGACCCACCAGCAGCCCTCGAAAGTGGCGACAGTTCCCTACCTAGGCTCTGCCTAGAAGGGTTCTTACGGTGTTTGCTTAAAGGGCCGGGCAGTGCAAAACGCCCCGGGCGGTGCCCCCAGGATTCGCCCCGCGGTTCCCCCAGTGACGTTCCCTTAGCTTAGCGTTGCTTATCTCATCTTAGCTTAGCGTATTTCATTTTAGCTGAGCTTAGTTTAGTTTCATCTTAGCTCAGGTTTATCTTAGCTTAGCTTACCTTCATCTTAGTTTCGCCGAGCTTTAGCATAGCAGAGCACAGCATAGCATAGCAGAGCGTAGCACAGCACAGCGCAGCACAGCATATCATAGCAAAGCCCAGTATAGCATAGTATAGCGCAGCATATCATAGCAAAGCATAGCATAGAGCAGCACAGCACAGCACAGCATAGCATAGCGCAGTACAGCATAGCGCAACTTAGCATAGCATAGCTTAGCTTAGCATAGCACAGCGCAGCATGACATATCATAGTTTAGCATAGCATATCATAGCATAGCATAGTACAGCATCGCATAGCATAGCACAGCATAGCGCAGCATATCATAGCATATCATAGTATAGCATAGCGCATTGCATGGCATAACATAGCATAGCATAGCATAGCAACTAATGCTGCTTTCCTAGGGGCTCCAACTTCTAGGTAGGGTCGCGCTGGGGTAATTCCGTAGATCGCAGCCCCCCAGGGACGGCGAAGTCTCGCTCAGATCTGCGCGGTGCCTCGCAGCGCTGGACACACCAGCAGCCCTCGAAAGTGGCGACAAGTTTCGCAGATCGCAGCCCCCCAGGGACGGCGAGGTCTCGCTCAGATCTGCGCGGTGCCTCACACCGCTAGACCCACCAGCAGCCCTCGAAAGTAGTGGCGACAGCTTCGCAGATCGCAGCCCCCCAGGGACGGCGAGGTCTCGCTCAGATCTGCGCGGTGCCTCACCCCGCTGGACCCACCAGCAGCCCTCGAAAGTGGCGACAAGTTTCGCAGATCGCAGCCCCCCAGGGACGGCGAGGTCTCGCTCAGATCTGCGCGGTGCCTCACTCCGCTGGACCCACCAGCAGCCCTCGAAAGTGGCGACAAGTTTCGCAGATCGCAACCCCCCCCCCAGGGACGGCGAGGTCTCGCTCAGATCCGCGCGGTGCCTCACCCCGCTGGACCCACCAGCAGCCCTCGGAAGTGGCGGCAAGTTTCGCAGATCGCAGCCCCCCCAGGGACGGCGAGGTCTCGCTCAGATCTGCGCGGTGCCTCACTCCGCTGGACCCACCAGCAGCCCTCGAAAGTGGCGACAAGTTTCGCAGAGCGCAGCCCCCCCCCAAGGACGGCGAGGTCTCGCTCAAATCTGCGCGGTGCCTCACTCCGCTGGACCCACCAGCAGCCCTCGAAAGAGGTGATAATTTCGCAGATCGCAGCCCCCCAGGGACGGCGAGGTCTCGCTCAGATCTGCGCGGTGCCTCACTCCGCTGGGCCCACCAGCAGCCCTCGAGAGTGGCGACAGTTTCGCAGATCGCAACCCCCAGGGACGGCGAAGAGAGGGCAGGAGGAGGGAGGATGCGGGAGGAAGGGCGCGCGAGCAGTGCTCTACTCAAAACGAAAGCCCAACCAAGGAGGGTTGGCAGAACAACAGATCCAACAGGGTTTCGCCCAGCGGAAACCGTCATACACTACGCGGCCAGACGCGACTTCAGCCCAGGAGTGGTTCGTTGACCTGCACACAGCTGACAAGACGCGTAAGAGAAAATTCTGGAAAGATCAGCGCACAATGGGAGGAACAAGTTGGTTATTATCCTCCTGTCCTCACTTATCTTCGTATCCTTCTTTGCTTGTCCTCTTGCTCCTCACTCAAAACTCCACTTCACCAAACCGTTTCCACCTCCTCCTCATCATCACCAGCAGCATCAGCATCATCATCAACAGCAGCATCAGCATCAGCATCAGCATCAGCATCATCAGCATCATCATCATCATCATCATCATCATCATCAGTATCATCATCATTATCAGCATCATCAGCATCATCAGCATCAAACGCATCGTCAGAGAGCTGCCGAAGTCAGAAGAATGAGGAAGAGGATGAGGAGGAGGGCGAGAAGGGCGAGCAGAGAGTGGATGAAGTAGGACAAGGAGGGCGAAGAGGGCTAGGAGAGAAAGGAAGAGGGTGTCGCGCGATGTTTTGGAGGAAGGAGAGCATCGTGCCTCGAGGATCGAGGTCCGAGGTTATTTGGTCTTCGGGCTTCGGGGGCTCTCGTCGTCGCCGCGGCTGGACGCGTCTCAAAGCGACGTTTTATTGTCCAAGGATCGCAAGACGAGGACGGAGAGGGCGATGAAGGGGCAGAAGCATCAACAGCAGTTGGAGCAGCAGTTGGGCCGCCCTGACACCATCTTTTCGGCGTCTCGGGGATCTCTTTCGGCCGCCTTGAGCTCACACCGCTGTCCGCGCTCAGGACCCTCGGTGTTTGGAACTCCTTACGCGACGAAACACAAGAGCCAGACTGAAATCTATGCCTCTGACGTCTCCAAGCCTCCTTGGGTCTTCTCTCGGGGCCTTCTCGGGCCACTTCGCGCCCTCTCCTGCCGTCCTGGGACCCATCTTGAGTTCTCCCCGAGGACAAAAACGCATTGCTGCTCTTTGGCAATGCCACAGAACTGGGGGCACCCCGCTGGGCGCGGCGTGCTCCGCCCCGCCTCAGGGCGCCGGCGCTGCGGCGCTGCTGCCCTCCACCATCGGGGTGCCCTCGTCCTGTTCGGTGGCATTTCGTGGGAGACTCCCGTATCATCTTGCCTGCTCTTGCGAATCGACGCTAGTCGACGCTAAATCGACGCTGTTCGACGCTAAATCGACGCTGAATCGAAGCTAAATCGGTTTTATCTCGTCGACTCCCAGGCGCTAATCGACGCCAGTCGACGCCAAGGACGGAATCAGCAGGGCACACCAGGCTCCCATGAATTGCTACCGAAGTCCTCGTGCCCATCCGCCACCAGCGCGCTGCGCGCAGATGCTGGAGCAGCGCGCCAGCCGCGCCACACCACCTGAGCATCGTTTATCCGATCCCTATCCCCAGCGGCGTGGACTGGGCACCACTGGCCAATTTACCCCCATAGATGGGGATATAGGCCGTTCCCTTCGTGCTTCGAAGGGTGTACGGCAGGTTCGTGTCGTGCCGACCCCAGCGTTGGTTCTTGACACCGCAGGGATCGCTCAACCTTGAACGATCTGCCGTCTCCGCAACGTCCAATCGTTCCACATCGAACGATTCTGGGCCGCCGTCGGCGTTCAACCTTGAGCGCCCGCGCTGGGGTCGCCGCCGGTCGACACGACGCAAACCTACCGTAAACGAAACTGACCACCGCCCCCGCCAGCGCCGCCGCGAGCGAAGCGGCCGCCGCAGCCGCGGCAGCCGCCGCCGCTAACACGGGTCCTCGCCCCCAGCAAGGCCTCGGGGGGGGGGGCGGCAAGGTACCGATCGATGCTGCTGCTCCCTGGACCTCTCCCAGGGAGCGTTTTGACCTGAAGTTCGACGAGAATCCAGCTGTGGCGACGAGGGATCTCCAGGACGAGCGGCTCCAGCGGTTTCGGTACACGTTTCTCCTCTGAGCCTCAGGCAGGGCATCGAGGCGACTGGGCAGGGGGTCCATGCAGCCGTCGGAGCAATCAGCACACTGGTCTACCGCTATATTCAGCGCCTGCCTGCAGAGGCCGGTGGGGTACGGCTGATTGGATCCTTCGTCGGCCAGGAGGCTCTGGACGGCCTCAGAGATCAACGTGAAACAGTCCTTGTCGACGCCGCTACTTTTCAAGCAAGAAGCGCCAATGCCTCCTTGGAGAAATAAGCAAAAACTGCAGAGACATAGACTGTCGGAGCTCCGCGCGGAGAGTTCTCGGATCTGCGCTGAATCCCCTCCATTAGGGAGCCCAAAAGTATACACCACCACCACCTCCCTCCCCCCCTCCCTCTCGCTGGAAAGAGGAGAGAGGAGGAATCGACGTGGTGGTGGTGTATATTCTTTGGGCCCCCATCCATGGCGCGCGCCAGGGGGCCCAGCGCCGATCCAAAAGAATCGCGCGGAGCTCGGACAATTGTTGAATTCTCACTTCGCAAGGGCTCCCAACTTCGCGCTTCGCGCTGCGCGAAGCGCGAAGCGCGAATAACTTCGCGCTCTCGCGCCGCCCCCCCAAAGGGAGAATAGGAGGACGAGGAGGAGGGGGAGAAGGAACGAGGACCGCGAAGCGCGAAGCGCGAATAACTTCGCGCCCTCGAGGGAGCCCTTGAATTGTTGAATTCTCACTTCGAAAGAATTATCCGCCGGCCCCCTTGTGGGGCCACCAGGCTGTAGGGCTAAGCTTCGCAGTTTCCTGTGCCAGTTGCAGCTTCCAGTTTCCACTGTTCCAGTTGTGCTTCTTGCTGCTTACTGCTCCTTGTTACAATTCTGCATCTTGCTGCTTACTGTTACTTGTTGATGGACCGCGCGAAGGGGGGAGGCTCAAAACTGGCATTTTTACCACGCCCTGGGAGGGTTCTCTGAATTTCTGTGAGGTAAAAATAAACACCCTTCACGCGGATCGGCGGGGTCAGGGTCCAAAAAAACACAGGATTTGCCACATTTCTGAAATTCGGTGGCACCCCTCACACAGATCGGCCGGGTCAGGGTGCAAAAACACAGGGGATGCGCCACATTTCTGAAATTCGGTGGCACCCCTCACGCAGATCTGCGGAGTCAGGGTCCAAAAACACACGGGATGCGTCTAAAATTTGCTGACACCCCTGACGCAGGTCGGCGGGGTCAGGGTCCAAAAACATATGAGATTTGCTACATTTCTGACATTCGGTGGCACCCCTCACGCAGATCGGCGGGGTCAGGGTGCAAAAATTCAAAGGATGTGCCACATTTCTGAAATTCGGTGGCACCCCTCACGCAGATCGGCCGGGTCAGGGTGCAAAAACACAAAGGAGTTGCAACATTTCTGAAATCCGGCGGCACCCCTCATGCAGATCGGCGGGGTCAGGGTCCAAAAACACACAGGATTTGCCACATTTCTGAAATTCGGTGGCACCCGTGACGCAGATCGGCGGGGTCAGGGTCCAAAAACATAAGGGATGCGCCACATTTCTGAAATTCGGCTGCACCCCTCACGCAGATCAGCAGGGTCAGGGTCCAAAAACACATGGGATTTGCCACATTTTTGAAATTCGGCGGCACCCCTCATGCAGATCCGTATGGTCAGGCTCCAAAAACATAAGGGATTTGCCACATTTCTGAAATTCGGTGGCACCCGTGACGCAGATCCGTAGGGTCAGGGTCGAAAAACAAACAGGTCCCGACACTGCTTCACGGCGGCGCCCAGACCTCATGATTTAGCTTTTGTATCTCATCCGAGACAGGTGGCCGGCGGCATGGGGCGAAGCCCTTACGGATTATTGTTGACAGCCCCCCACCAGTGCTCATTGCTTTTGTCCATTAAAGCCTCCTGAGGCTCGCACCCTGTTCGACTAATCAAGGAAAGTCTTATGGCCCAGATTGCGCCCCTGGTCCCCAGTTTACACCAAAAAGGCAACACGAAAACCCAACAAAAAACAACCACAACAAAACCAAAACAACAAAAACAGCAACAGCAATAGCAACAGCAACAGCAACAACAACAACAATACCGACGACGACAACAACAACAACAACAATCAGTTTAAGACTGTTCGCTCCTATCTGCTCGCGTGCAATTCAATACGAATATCCCAAACCCTCGGTACCCGCCCTCGTCGTCGTCGATCGTACCCCCTTGGAGGTAAAGATTCCTCACCTGTCCCGTGCATTTAATGCAGCCCCGGAAAAAGGGAAAAGAGAAGACGGGTGGAAGGGAGAGGAAGAAGAATGGAGCACGAGAGTAATTTGCAGGAGGGGGGCAAGCAGCAGAAAACAAGTGGTAGAACCAGACGGGCAGGTCGGGTGGGCAGACCCATAGCGGGCAGGTCGGGAAGGCGGGCCCAAGCGACCAGGTCGAGCAGGTGGGTTGCTGAAGCGTAGGTCCTGCATGAACCGCGAGGAAGTCTCGAGCGATAGCGCGACTCCCAAGTAAATCGTGAGAAAAACCAGAAACCGAAAGCTTGATTCCTGAGCGCCGACGGCGCTTCGTGTGAATAAACTGCGAAGAAACCCCACGTGACGATGCGATTCGTATACAAATTGTGAGGAAGTCCCACGCGAGAGCGCGATGTGGGAATACATTGTGAGGAAACATCAAGCGGGACACGCTGTTCTTGTAAACAGGGGGCCAGCATAACAGTTTGAGCCCCGTGGTTATCCCTGATACACCACAGCGTACAAGCCCCGGGGGAAGCACGTCAATTGAAAAAACATAATGGTCACCGGAAAGCGGATCAAAAAAAAATACTCTTCTCCAGTAGTGAAATTTCAACGCCAGCAACAAACATGACATCAACAACAACAACAGCAGCAGCAACAACAACAGCAACAGCAACAACAACAACAATAATCAGTTGAAGACTGTTCGCCCTTATCTGCTCGAGTGTCCAATAACGCGTATTTCCCAAACCCTCGATACCCGCCCTCTCCGTCTTCGATCGAACCCCTTTTGGGGGGTATACCTTTCTGCCCTGCAGGCCGGGCCCCGGCAAGCGGCGAGGCGGCCGCGGACCGTCGGCCTGGCCAGCGGCAGCGCTGATCGGCGGGGCGGCCGCGGACCGTCGACCCGACCCCCGAAGGGACGGACAGGGGACCGTCGACGACGAGGACGACGACGACGACGGCGACGACGACGACGAGCGAAAGCGAGAGCGAGAGAAAACGACTGCAGGGCCACGAAGACACGAAGTAGGCCACGAAGGGCGACAGCGGGGACAGGAAGGGAACGCGTATGGGGCCCCGAAGAGGGCGAACGAGCGGAGGCCACGAAAGGCAGATAATGCGAGGCCACAGAAGGCAACGATGGGGCCACTGAAGGTAGCAATTGGGCCACGCAGGACCGTGAGGGGGCCACACACGGCGACAGCGGGGCCACGAAGGGCAGGCACATGGGGCGGCCAAAACCGGCGCGAACGAGCGGGGGCCACGAAGGGCAGGCATACGTATATTGGGCCGCGGAGGGCAAGAACGGGGCCACTGAGGGCAGCAACGGGGCCACGAAGGGTAGCGAAGGGGCCACGAAGGGCATGCATATGGGCCAACCACGGGCGCGAACGAGCGGAGGCCACGAAGGGCATACATATATGGGGCCACGAAGGGCAGCGAACGGGCCACGAAGTGCCGCAGCGGGGCCACGAAGGGCTGCAACGGGGCCACGAAGGGCTGCGACGAGGATCCCTTCAGGATTCCTACGGGGAAGTGTTTAAGGATGTGCTCAGTGCCACGGCCACCATGGGGATCCCATGGGACCCCTATAGGATCCCATCGGGATCCCATCGGACTTCACAAGGATTTCTATGTGATTCCATACGGATCCTATAAGATCCCACAAGGACCCTGGAGGGTTCGTACAAAACCCCATGCGGGCCCTGTAGGATTCCATGGAGAACATATAAGATTCCATGGGGACCATATAGGACTCCTGGAGGATTCCCTTGGGATCTTCCAGAATTCCATAAGGATCCTGTAGGATTGCTATAAGGTTCCATGGGGTTCATATAAGGATTCCCAGTGATCCTATAAGGATGTCTACGGATCCCTCTAAAACCCGACAGGATCCCATATGGCATCCTACAGGATCTCCATGGAATCCGATTGGATCCCAATGGAATCTTATAGGATCCCGATGGCATGTGTATAGGATTCCTATGGAATCGTATAGGTTCTCGATGGAGTCGTAGGGAGTCCAAGCATCCTATAGGACCCCTGTGGAATCTGATAGGACACCAACACCAACACCCCAACAGGCCCGCAACGCCCCCGCAGGGGCCCCACGGGGTTGTTGGGGTGTTGGTGTTGGTGTGTGTGGGGGGTACGGGTCGTCAGTGCACGCGTCCATCAACAATAACAACAACAGCAACAACAGCAACGACGACGACAACGACAACGACAACGACAACAACAACAACAACAACAACAACAACAACAACAATTACTAGCACGTGGGGACACTCCGTTCTCACCAGTGCCAGGGTTTTCATACGACGCCCGCCAATACCCCCACTTTGTGGGGGGGCCGGTTCAAGCTCTACCAAATTTCCAAACGACTCTTCGCCACCACCCACACCCAGCTTCCCGCCCTATGACGTTCGGACACTTCACTTCGTGGCCTGCGGACGACCGTGGCTACTACACTGGCGCATGGGTACAGCGATTCGTATGATTTTATGTTGCGCGGTGCTAAAATTCCTAAGAAATTCAATGGTTTTTGAAGATTTCGGCGTGCGCGCGCGAAGAAAAAACGAATGTGTCCCGCATGGTATTATTTGACAGGGATGATGGCCCTGGCAGGTGCGCAACCGTTGTTGGAGAAGTTCGAAGCACGTGAAAAAGTTGCTCGCAAAAGCCCGTTTGACAGAAACGTTTTAAAAGTGTTGGGTTTCCTACAAATCCGCAAGAGCGCGCGGGATGAAATTGTGACATTTTTTTTTTTGAAAAACCATTGGTTGTTTGATGTTTTTATGTTAAAATCGCTACGAACACTAAGGTTTTGGAAAGATTTCGTCTTGCGCGCGCGAATGTCCACTTTACCTTATTTGTTGCAAGGGATTCTTGGAGTTTGGTTATGTTAGAACAAGAAATGTCAACTTTGCCTTATTTTCTTGCAAGGGAAAACCGCCCGTAACAAAACAACCGGATCCGGACCAACCCGTTTTGCCGGAGACTTCCTCACGAAAATGAT